ATTGTTTTGCGAACGCTCCGAAGTATGTATTGTCTATTGTCTATTGTCAATGAAATAGAAATTTCCCAATTAATGCACGTGTTTCGCATTTTAAAATTAGCTCCATTAGAAAGACGATATTCGTGATAATGCGGGTAATAGTAGTTTCCTGTCGGAAATGTTAAAAATGAAATGACAACGTTTAGGTGAAAAGATGAATGTATTTTCTAACTCTGTTTCTGAGTATTTAATTTAAGATATAATAATTGTTTTAGTAATTATAAGATCACACAACTTCAATATGAAAAAATTATTATATATAGTAGTATACCATATATTTGATTTATATATTTGGATTATAAATGGACAATACATTGGATACATGTTAAACATACGCCCAAATATACATCATTTTGGATAAACATGTTCTATACACTATATACAAATAGAATATTATTCTTTGCAGTACTTTCCGTTTTTTCTCTTTTCTAAAATAGGTTCATGTTATAGATTTATTACTTGGGTTTGTTAGCCTATTGATAACATCTGTTAGAAACTCACCTCATCGGACAAAAATCGAACAGAGTATCGTGATATTATTCTAATTTTTATGCTTCTACATACACATAATGCACTAATAATAGCTACTATAATGACAATAATAAATTAAAAAATTAAATAGTCAGAAACTGTGCATATTGTCTTGTCTATCGTCTAGAGTTGTTATCACCTTTTCTTAAATTTTTTCTTTTCAAAGCTTGATCAATTTCATTTCGTTCAATCAATAACCCAAAAATTTACTATTTTTATACTATCCAATATGTATGGCAACAAAAAACAAAATTCCAAAAGCTTGCTAAATTAAAGGCGTTGAGAGGCAGCACCAAAGGCAATAACTTTCGCATTAAAGCAATGATTTCAATCAGGATGATATGCTTGATGACTTCGAACATTTTTTGATACTAGAAGAACACTTCGGCTCTAAGTCTCTGACAGCCATTGAAGATTTTGATGTCATCGAATGAATGACTCTTCGAATGAATGACCAAGAAATAATAAAAACTCTTGGGGTCATCTGGACTCCAGTGGGACAAAAAGAATAATGTTAGCAGAATTATCCAAGTTGTTTGATCCCCTTGAGCTTATTAATCGCTTAACTGCAAAGGCGAAAATTTTCATGCAAGATCTTGAAAGCAAATTGGGATGAGTTTTTACAAATGAATCTCTATAGTCAGTGGACAGTTGTGGAGTGCTAAATCAAGAATATAGTGCCATTAAAAACTAATTCTCCATCGAAACTGGAACTTTTGGCTGCAGAATTGCTGTTGAAACTGGTGACAAAAACCAAATCCAATTTTCTCATTCCTATTGATGCGACCTATTTATGGACGGATCCAGAAATTGTGATAGACTGGTTAAGCGAACATCCATCAAATTGGAATACATATGTGGCCAATCGGGTATCATTGATTCAAGAGCAGACAAAAACGTATATTTGGCGCCATGTTTCTTACAAGTCGAACCTAGCGGATATAATATCCAGAGGTGCGTATGTAGAAGAACTAATTTTTTCTTTTTGGTTTGCAGGCTCCTGTTTTAAAGAAGAAAGTCCAGAAAGAATACTAATGCTGACAAAGAAAAAAGTCGTTATAGTACGTTAACAACTGGTAATGAATCTACTGAAAAAAATATATCTAATGAGGCATGCTTTAGAGACAATTCAAAGCCTTGTTTTGTAAAATGTGTTAAAACTTGTAGCAGCTTTGAAAAATTACAAAGAATTTTTGTCAATCTTCTTGGGTTTTGAAAAGGCATTATGTTTATGACTGAAAGATAAGATGAAGCCTTGGTGCGTATAATCTACTGTGTGCAACAACATTATTTTAGAGAAGAATTGCGTTGCTATTGAAGAATCGTGAATTACCAGCAAACAGTAAACACAAAAACCTATGCATTTTTGTAGAAAATACATATGGTGCTCCGCTGCTACGTGTTGGTGAGAGATAGGCAAATACTGCATCATCCTATGATGCTAAACATCAAATATATTGTTACCAAATACGATTCCTTCATTTTAAATATTTCCATGCGATTTGAACATTCAAAAAATCGACTTAATGGGTCCTCCGCCGTACAGTCCTGGTTTGGCACCCAATAACTTCTTCTTATTCCCGAATGTCAAGAATAAATTGCGTGGACAACGCTCATGATTTTTGTCGGCGAAAGAAGCCGTTGTTGCATTTGAAAGCCATGTTTTTGAGGTGTCTGAATAAGATTCGAAGAAATGCTTTGACAAGTGGTTCAAACGGATGCAAATATGTATCATAAAGGAGAATACTTCAAGAAACAATAAAGCAACTTTCAACGACAAGTTAATATTTTTTCATTATCAGACTCAAAATATAAATAGTGACCCTAGTACATTGATCTTTTTTTTTGTTTTGCTATAAAACCTGTGTATATAGAGGTGTTCTCTGATTTAACTGCAAAAGCTTTCATGGCTTCGTTAGAAATTTGTAGCTCGCTGCAGATTGTGCTTAAAATTATTTTGCGACAATGCCACGAATTTTGTGGCACTTGCCTTTAATTTAAGAAATTGAAAGGAAGTTTTTGGATTAACAGATTCAGAGCAAGATTTCCAAATATTGTGCTGTTAATAGTATTGCATTTCATCATATACCACCCAGATTCTCCACTTTGGTGGACTGAGGGAAGCGGCTGTGAAATTAGCAAAATATCATTTGGCTAGAATATTGGATCAATCGCATCTTATGTTTGAAGAGCTGACAACAGCAGTTTTTAAAGCGGAAGTAGTTTTAAATTCAATACTGTTGACAACCATATCTAAGGATCCAAATGACAAAAGTATTCTTACATCTGCACATTTTTTAATGGGTGGTCCGTTGGTTGGGATTGTTGAAGCTCTGTGGACAGCAAAGAATGGTCACATGTAGATTAGATAGCTACGAATTTCGGCCATACAACAGCATTTTTGGAGAAGGTGTTCGGCGGAGTATCTCTATGAACTTCAACAGAAGGTCAAGCGGATTAAAAAGCAGAACAATTTTAATGAAGGTGATATGATGTTAATTGCAGAAGAAAATTTGCCTTCTAAGCATTGCCTTATTGGGAGAGTGGTGAAAGTGACAAGAGATACTAAAGGTTCTGTTCGCGTTACTGATGATAAAATAAAGAATAGGAAGTTTCGTCGAGCAATACATAAGTTGGCAACTATTCCCTATGAATGTTGATGTCTATTGGAGCTGTCAAGGGCGGCAATATGTTTAGATTTAAGATGAAATAATGTACATTGTATTGTAGCCTTACGGTGATTGTCTTATTTTTGTTATGCTGAAATGTATTGTGTCGTGACGTTTTTTGTACTCTGAACTGTGGCGTTTTATGGTTAAGTGAAATAAAAACGTGTATTGAAATGAATTAGTTTCTCTTTGTAAAATTAATTATATTAAGAGAAGACGTAAAGCAATAAAGATCCATAAAATAATATTACTAAACGTAAGTTCTTTAAACTTAAAACTCAAAGTATGCGGTTGTTGTATGCCTGTTGTCGAGTATGATAATTTTTTTATCTTAAAAATGAAACTTGAAAAGTTCTAATTAATTTAGTGAATAATCTCTATCCGTCTAATCAAGAGCTTCTTTTAGGAATTGAAATCAATTGTGTTCGAGAGTAAACCACTCCTTAGGAGCGTCGTAAAACAGTCTTTATGGACTGCATTATTTTCCCAAAATGTGCACTAAAATGCGCATCTGAAATCGTTCAGCATTTTACAAACTATTGAAAGAGTACGAGTATTGCAAATGAATTTAACGAGTGTTATAGCACTTACTATTATATATAGAAGCTCATGGAAAACAGAATAATTTTATTAAAAGTAATTTGAGTTTTTGTAAATATCTTATCAAATAATAAAATCATAAAAATACTTGATTAACTTTTGTAGATTTAAATAAAAAATATTAAAAAATAGTTTTAATAATAATCATGTATTTTTTAATAATTTCGCATTTAAAGGAAATAAAACTAATGTATATTTTGGTTTTTAATAATAATTATTAATTTAATTTTATTTTTTGTATTAAATACAAAAACAAAATATCAAACAATATGTAAAATCTTCGAACTGTCGACTTCTGCACATGTTGGATTAGTCGGATTAATTATGTTATAATCAATGAAACTGGAAGATTACAGAACACTGGTACACACGACTCGACTTCTTGAGAAGGTGATTATTAAGTGTGTTCCGAATTAAAAATGAGTTAGTTTCTTAGGTATTAACGTAATCAATAAAAGTGGCAACAAGTGATCATAATCTATGCAAGTGAAAACAAAAGCAATGCCTTATCTGCTTTTATGTATACACAAGATCAAATAATAATTACCGAACCTACTAATCTAATAAACAATAATTATTTGTAATATGACTTAAGTTACCATTAAGTATCATGTCGTTTCTATAACTCATGTAGTCAATTTATAATCTAATCAGACGATAAGTACTTATGAATAGAGGTCTATGTTGATTGCTTGAAAGCTAACAGCCTATTCAAAATTGTTACCAATATGAGTATTACGATAAGTTAAATATTATTTAATATAAATAAATAAAAAAACGTTAAGTAGCTGAAGTAGGATAAGGCTAAACTGATCAAACCCGAAAGGTACATTAGATCACATATTTGTTGTTAAAGTATATGAAGTGTGTGTAGTAGAAAGCACTTCTGAGAAATTATTTAACGAATTCTCAAAAAAATATTTGAGAATACGATTTTCTTTAACATGTAAGGTTTCTAGGTAATGTCTATTAGCTTTGTTTTTTATAATAATTTCGTTTGATAAATAGTCTTAACTAGTCCATAAATGTTATATATGAACCTGCACACAGCAAGACACCAACTCATACAAGGTTACCAAAATAGCACAGTACGATAAGATTTGAATAAAGTCACAATCCTTATCAAATGGCATTAACTTGGTACTACTTTAGCATTTTTATTGAATAAAACGATTCACTACGTTTCCGGACGTTTATGTGTAAAAATGAAGTTCGTGCTACTGTTATTGTCAGCACTGATGGTGCTTGCTGCAACGAAGGCAGAAGAGCAGCAGGAGGAAACTATATTCGAACGCAATTTCAAGAGGTTACACCACGAACCTGAACCTCCAGTAGCGAAAAGTCGTGCCAATGTGGAAACTAAATGGATTGTACAAAAATTGGATCAGTTCAACGAAGAGGATGATCGTACATGGGAAATGGTACTAATATTTACTTTTAATACGTTCTTCATAATAAATAGTAAAAAATAGTTAATTTCAATTCTTGTGGTTAATATTTATGGGTGACGTGTAGAAATATATTAATTAAATATTGTTAAATTACAATGTCTACACTTAATCACGGTGGTATTATATATTTTATAGCGCTATATGTCCAATGATGAGTTTTATGAACAAGGTGGACCGCTCTTCATATTTGTTGGTGGTGAATGGGCTATTTCACAAGGCTATCTAGTTGGTGGCCATATGTACGATATGGCAAAAGAACATAAGGGTTATTTATTCTATACTGAACATCGTTACTATGGACAAAGCAGACCTACAAAGTAAGATTTGAATTTGAATTCTAAATAGTTTTCAATCGATTGATATTCTATTTTATAATTCAATATTGACAATCATTTTTTCAGAGATATAACCAACGAAAATATTGTATATTTGGATGTACGTCAAGCACTTGCAGATTTGGCACATTTCATTCGCACCATGAAAGCTACAATTCCCGGAATGACAGATTCTAAAGTTATTTTAGTTGGTGGTTCCTATTCAGCTACTATGGTAACTTGGTTCAAGAAATTATATCCCGATTTAGCAACTGGTTCATGGGCTTCAAGCGCACCTCTCTTCGCCAAAGTGAATTTTGTAGGTAAGCTTAGATAATTGTCTGCTTAGCGAAGAGCGGGAGGCAAATAGTGCACATGCACTTTACAGTTAGTTGTTATTTTACAGAATGAATAATAAGAGTAGCTTCTTGAAATATATGGCAATAACCCAAAGAAATAAGAATCTATTGTATATAAAATGACTTTCCCATATTTTTTGTGTAAAACAATAAACAAAAATATATCAATTTTCAATTGTTTGTAGAATACAAAGAAGTTACCGGTCAATCAATAAGGCTTGTGGGTGGAGATGCCTGCTATAAACGTATCGAGAATGGCATAGCTGAATTAGAAGACCTATTTGCAAGAAAACGTGGCGCAGAAGTCAAGGCTATGTTCAAAATTTGCAATAACTTTGATGAGAATAATGATTTGGATCAATGGAACTTCTTTAGTGAAGTATCTGATATATTTGCAGGTTTAGTGCAGACACATAAGTAAGTTAACATAAATAATCGTTATTTATCTAAAAACTGTAGCTGACTAAATTTTTAGTGATGGTAACATACAAAGAGCTTGTCAAAGAATTATGGACGGTGAAGACGATGTTAGTGGATTGGCAAATTACCTTTTGCCTCAATTAAGCTCAACTGGTTGTAATGATTTTTCGTACAAAAGTATGTTAGGCGTAATGCTCAATTCGGCTTATACCAACAACATTAGTAAGTTTTCCGAAAATAATAAAACTAAAGAAATACAAGAATAAATTTGAAATTTTAGTGCGACAATGGATATATCAAACATGCAACGAATACGGTTGGTACCAAACATCTGGCTCTAGAAATCAACCATTCGGTACTAAATTCCCTGTTACTCTATATACCACTTTGTGTTATGATTCTTATGGCACAAGGTTTACGAATGAATATATTAACGCGCAAGTATCCGAAACAAACAATTATTTTGGGGGCTTAAGTCCCGAAGTAGAAAATGTTTATATTACACATGGACAATTGGATCCTTGGAGAGCTATGGGTATACAAGACGAAGAACAAGCCACCGTTATACCATGTAAATATTCAAATGTTTAAAAATAATAATAATAATAATAATAGGTTTATGATCATTTTTACTTCTTAGTGTATGCTCACTGTAAGGACTTTGGTTCCATAAGCTCAAGTGATACAGCTGAAATGCGTGCTTCAAAGGAAAAAATAGCAGCATTGGTACGCGAATGGGTTGGCAGCTCTGCTACTAGCAGTGAAAATATTCCGAAGCAAGCAGAAAGTCTTTTGCAAAAATTGCGCAACTAAACTTAATTCTGCTACTTTCGAGTAGACCATTTGGAAATTGTTGTGATTTCTAGTATATTTGCACTGTAGTTTGATAAGCTGAACAATAAAACAATAAATTTACTACTTAATCGAAATTTGATAAAAATTTTTGTTTTGCTTCTAATCTCAACTTTGCCAATATATTTTAAAAATCAAACTAATAAAACCAATTGTTTATCTGAAAACATGCGGAACTTAACAATTAACTGAAACATTTATTTCCTTGCCTTACAAAAAGTTCAAATTAATCTGACCCCTCTAATTGAAAGCATATGCTTTACGATTTACCAAGTCTGTGTGATAATCTTTCAGTTCTGATTACTAACTATGTTATACTATCAACACCCTCTCTCACTGTCTAAAGTGTGTGACATCATAAAGACTGATTAAAAATCTGCCACCTTGAATTTCTTAACTTGTTTCTCGTTTATAGTATGTATACCCACACTTGATTACTGTTTTATATCTTTCCGGTTTATATACTTAATCATGATTTGTATTAATAATACTTTATGATTTTTTTGATTCTTAAATATATCAGGCCTTTGAGCCACAAACTTTTCTTTCCAGTTCAGTTGAAAAGAAAAATATATGTTTATTTCCCCGGTTATGTATTTGTATAACAAATTAGTTTTTGTCAGAATTAAAATCATCAATTCTTTTCAAAAAGCTTAGCTAACGGATCTATTCTATAAAAATAATACGCCTTTTGCTTTGAAGATTCATATCACTTTTAACTACGGAAGAGAAATCCATTTGAATTAGAAGGTAGCAACCTGAGCCGAAAGAAACCGATACTTTATTTTTCTGTTCGGTTTCAGTTTTCACTCCGTCAAAAATATCGGCTTTTTTCGGCTGCCTTTTATTAAATAGTTATTAGTTTATAAATAAATAAATAAGATATAGTAACTTTTGTTTATATATTAAATAACACTCTTGCATATTTTAGACTAACAGTTCTAATTATTCTTCGGGAAATAGCGAAGCTAGGGTCTTATACCGCACGGATACAATTTCATCGAACTGCTTACAGTTGGTAAAGAGAATGTGGCAATAGAACAGAATAACAGCTCTAATTCGACTGACGGACTGAGTCAGCACTTGATTTAAACAATCAACCAACGGCACAAAAGAGTTTAAGAATGACATCAACACATAAACGCGACTGTAGCGATATCTAATAATGTTATATGTATCAATTTATTTCAACTTATTAAAGAACACGAGCTGCTTTATTTAAAACCAATACTGCACTTGTGTGAATTTGAAATAGAGAAACGTCTTAGCTACCAAGTAACTCATAATCTAATCTACTAAAAAAATTGAATATGAAAGGTTTGATATATAACTTTTGAATATAAGCAAATTATATGCTTTGAATTTATTATAAAACTTAATGCTTAGGAGACTCTTATGCCATTCATCAAAATGAAATTAAGTTTGATACTAGTCGCATTGGGAGTGCTTGTCTGCAGCACAATCGGTGGAACGGATGAAACGACAGCTAATAAGATTCCAGTATTTTTAGAAAGTTTTAAAAAATTACATCGCGGGCCACCTATAGTAGAAACACAATCTCGGGCAATAATTGAAACAAAATGGATTGAACAGAAATTGGATAATTTCGATGAGAGTGAATCAAGGACGTGGCAAATGGTAACATATATGAATAAAATTTTAAAAGAATGTTCTATATGAGAACATAGACGACGTCCAAAATATGAATTGACTATAATTAATAAATTTTTAGGAATATTATAAAAAAATTGATTCTTCAGAAATGAATTAATAATTAATAATACTTGTTACTTTTATTATTAATTTAAATTAAGTTCTTACTATTTGAAAAGGATCACAACAGACAAATATTGAAAACCCAACAAAAATGTTCAATAATGAAGAAATTTTACGTTCAAGTTTTTTACTCCAACTCCATATATTATAAACGATAATAAATCATTTTCAAATCATTTGAAAAACACTAATTAATAAGAATTAATTACTATAAACAATTTGTTTTTCTATCTTTATAGCGCTATATGCAAAATGATGAACATTTTGAGACAGGTGGTCCTATGTTTATATACGTTGGTGGTGAATGGACTATTTCGTCTAGCAGTATTGCTTCAGGTCATTTTGTCGATATGGCAGCTGAGCATAAAGGAATGCTATTCTATACCGAACATCGGTTCTATGGTCAGAGCAAACCTACTGGGTAAATTGGTCGATGAACGTAAATATATTTAATATATTTATTAGCTTTAAACATGTGATTTCAGAGATATAACAGTTGATAATCTGAAGTATTTGCACATAAAACAAGCATTAGCTGATTTGGCACATTTTATTAAGTATCAACGGGAAAATAATCCTGACTTAGCTAACTCTAAAGTCATCATGGCTGGTGGGTCATACGCGGCAACCATGGTCGTGTGGTTTAAGCGTTTGTATCCAGAATTAATGGCTGGTGGTTGGGCTTCCAGTGCACCATTACTAGCAAAAGTTGACTTTTTGGGTGGGCATGATCATTTTTGTACATAAAATTGACATTACCAAATTATATTTTTTTTTGCACTACAGAATATCACGAAGTTGTTGGTCGCGCTCTCATCGAATTGGGCAGCCAACAGTGCTATGATCGCGTTCAAAATGGTGTCGCGGAAATAGAGTCGATGTTCGCAAATAAACGTAGCGCTGAAGTCAAAGCGCTTTTTAAGTTATGCAATAATTTTGATGAACAAAATGATTTGGACTTGTGGTCATTCTTCAGTGTTATATCAAACTTATTTGCCAGCATTGTGCAATACCAATCGTAAGTGTTATTAGAATTCTACAAATATATTATAGTTTTTACATGCATGTTGAATCTTTCTTAATTTTAGAGGAAATGATATACCAATTACATGCAACTATTTGGCCACTTTCGAAGATGATGTTACCGCTTTAGCTGGCTTAGTATTGTGGGCGTATGGTGCATCAAGTTGTTTAGATGTAACCTATAAAAGCTCACTTTCCTATTTAATGGACTCAACATATGTATATGGAGCTTCTCGCCCTTGGTACTATCAAACATGTAACGAATATGGTTGGTATCAGACCTCACGTTCTAGAAATCAACCCTTCGGTACTAAGTTCCCTGTTACACTTTATACAACACTCTGTGAGGATGTTTTCGGCAGCAAGTATACAAATGAAAACATTAATGCAAATGCTGCACAAACTAATCTTGACTTTGGTGGAATGAGCCCAGAAGTTGAAAATGTTTACATGACACATGGTGCTTTGGATCCATGGAATCCAATGGGTCATGGTGCTGAAGAAGGCGCCACTGTTATAGCACAAGCGTCGCATTGTGCAGATTTTAGTTCAATAAGTAGCAGTGATAGCTCAGAAATGCGTGCCTCTAAACAACTCTTAGCAGAACTAGTGCGTCAGTGGTTGGCGGATGACGAAACCGATATCAAACCAAAAAATATTACTAAAGATAAGGTTCGCAAATATATGAGACAACTTGTATAAGCAATATCTTTCGCTTGAATCTTATCAATAAATTAAATATTGTAAATTTATAGTCGATTTCCTTTTAATTAAAGAATAGTCGCTAGCATAAGATTGGTGTGTTCGTAATATACCAGATATATTACTGCATTATCAAAAAAAATCTAATCTACTCTTAAAATACTAACCACTGGAAAAAGTGTATATTAGGATAGATTTATATTTGAAATGATTATAAATATTTTAATTTGATTTTTTATAAAATTTTATTTTTACTGCTCTGTTGAGTGAGCCCATTTATGTTATAATAATATAATAATATATGTTTATGTATAATATATGTTTTATGTTATTTACATGGTAATCTACATATTACCATGTTTTATTTTATGGTAATATGTAGATTTAATTGGGTTACGACTCAAATTCAGCAGCTTTTCTCGGGAATCGATGTCAGAAATGAAAATGATTGAGATTAAAGCGCCTGTGACAAACATGTATTTAAATCTTATTTCTCATGACATTTAAATATTTTTTAGAAGTTTCAGATGAGTACCTTTTTGTTTCTAGAGTGTTTACTTTAAAGATCAATGATAAAAAAATATGATACAAACTTTCCGTTTCCGAAATTAAATAATTCCTCATTATTTATCCTTGAGATTAATCAGGCTTTTTTAAATGATGGGATACTTTTCATTTGTTATTAGAAAGTTTCTTATTTGTTTGGAATGTTAATAACTACTTTTGTCACCCTATTGGTTAATATTATCGAAACAAAGGTAATTCATTTTTGTGAATATTTCCCTAAAATCTAAGAGTCAAAGATGGAGAATTTGTCGAAATCTGTTTGTAAAAAATTATTCACTCAGTATATCTGTTGTTCTAAAAAGAATATTACTGTACCCAGAACACCTTTCTAGCTATTATTTCTATTATGTCCATCAAGATATTTGCAGGTATTCCAAAAATTATATCTAAACATAACAATGAGGTATTTTTTTTAGTTTGACTCAACTTATTTGAATTAATATATATATAATAAACATTATGTTTAGGTTTGCATGTATGTGTATGCGATTTAGTTTTCTTGGGTGGAGCGTAAAATCTCTCTCCTTAGTTTAATTCGAATTGCAATGGGCATAACACAACGATGTCGTTGCATAAATAATTTATATTTTTTAATAAGCGTGTTTCTGGAATTTTACGGGATCGACCTCAGTGCTCCATTGTCATTCGTAAATTTCTTTTGTTGATCTAGTTTGACTTATTTAATATTGGATGTCGATATTGGATATATTATGAGGTTAACACATGTGCACGAGTCGATGTAGATATTGGTATGCAGAAGTTTGAATGGTATTGCAGTGGTACTCATATATGCTTCACTTTCATATAATACAACTGCTTTTATATTTGTAGTGAATACGTTCAGTTTTATAGTAATGGATAAATAATGGTAGAATGGTTTAAATTTTTTTTAGTTAAGTAAAAATACCTCTAGCATCACCGATTCTGGAAATAATCACATACATAATCCTCTACTTTCATTTTTTCAAAGTAAATTATTAAATTATTAATTGTTAATTATTAATTATTCTATATCTGCTGTTTAAGATCTTATTCTTTCAGTTATTAATTGATGTCCTGACCGCAATGAATTTAGGCTACTCTAGAGAATGGAGCAACTATGGCGAAGATAGCATACAACATTAGCATATTCTAATCTTTTAGACAGGTTAATGACGTCAATTGGATACCGTATCACTCGTCTAATACGAGGGCTGCTATATATATTTCTGGCTTAGGCAACACGAACTGTTGTCAGGTGCAATCTGACATTTCCATTGGAAAGGTTGACATTTTTTAGCATAACATTACTCAGAACGTGTTGTCATTTAATTGTGAATTGGTTTATTTACAGAGACTTGAAAAATTCGTCTCGGCCAAAAAATGGAATTAACACGTGAACATTTTTGTACGATAATTTTTCACAACTTCCGACGCGGATTATCACGACAAGATTGCATTGATGAACTTAAATCTTTGTATGGCGCTGAAGTTCCATCCTATAGCACTGTGAAAAACTGGTTTAATGAATTCAATCGTGACCGACGCTCGCTCAACGACGAATTCTGTGAAGGTCGTCCAAAAACGGTCTTTGTGCCAGAGAACATTGATGCCGTGCGTGAACTGATAATGTAAGATCGTCATGTGACATACCGTGAGATAGAGGCATGAACATCTGGCCGTAAAAAAGGTTTGTTCTCGTTGGATCCACAATTTGACAATCGCTCAAAAAAAGGCTCGTGTTGATTGGTGCAAAGAAATGTTGAAAAAATACGTTCGCGGTGCTTCAAAAGATGTTTCTAAGATCGTCACAGGTGACGAATCATGGATCTATGCGTATGAGCCCGAAACAAAACAACAATCGACCGTGTAGGTCTTCGAAGACGAGCCAAATCCAACGAAAGTTGTTCGTGGAAGAAGCACTTTGAAGCAAATGGTCGCCTGTTTCTTCGGCAAAACTGGTCAAGTGGCGACTGTTCCGTCTGAGCAACGAAGGACGGTCACTTCAGAGTAGTACACCACAATTTGTTCGCCTGAAGTCTTCGGAGAAATTCGAAAAACGAACAAGAGAAGACGAACCATTGTTCACCATGACAACGCGAGCTCTTACACATCGGCTTAAACTTGGTACCCAATGACTTCTTTTCATTCCCGCACATCAAGAAAAAAATGCGTGTCAACGATTTTTGTCGCCAGAAGATGCTGTTGAAGCGTTCAAAAACCATGTTTTGGAAGTATCTCAATCGGAGTGGAAAAAGTGCTTCGACAATTGATTTGAGCGCACGCAAAAGTGTATAAATCAGGCTGGAGAATACTTTGAAAAACAATAAAACAATTTTTGATGATAAATATTCGCATTTTCATTATTAGGCCAGAAATATATATAGCAGCCCTCGTAAGGCTTTCATTATTTCTTTTACTGAAAATATCAATCCTTCCTTGTCATTCACTAGACTTGATAGCGAATGCTTCGAAGAGTTGCAAAACATGTATACCGTGGCATGGAACTTCTTAACTTCATAATTTCTTATAAAGTGTTTTCCAGATTTAAAGAAACATAAGTATCTTTATTAACAATGCAGGAATGTTGACCCGTCAAAACCAGATTGTTGCTTAGCATAGATTAGCCATAGATTAGCTTTACTGTCTTTCCGCAATATAAATACTTAGCTTGTACATTATATCTCCTATGCTACGAGAATGTCGAATTTATACATAGATTTTCTTTTCCTCCGATCATTTTTAATTAGGAATAATTCAAAAACGTTATTATGAGTAAGGCATGAAGTAGTATACAATGAATTTAGAAGCTAACTCTACAATTTCCTGCACTATAAATTCGATGATATTTTATTAACTTAACTTCTATAAAATATACATCGTGGATATATAAGTATGTAAGTTAAGCTACATCTACATCTGAAAGGTTTTATCGGATAGTTCTATTTTGCCTTGCCTTTCACATTTGACTTTCTCATACTTTTTACCTTAAAAAGAAGTTTAGTGATGCTTTGAAGCTGACATTGTCAGTTACTTGTTTTCTAAATTATTTAGTTTAAATAATAGTCTATATTTCAATTATTGTTTTTAAAAAATAATACGATATTAAATTTAATGTTACAAAAATGATCTATTTATTCAGAATCTACTAGAAATATTGAGGTGCGATTGTTCATTTTATTTGTAACACACCATTTACGACAAACCATTTGATCCAAATTTAAGTACGCGTTCTGAATTTTAATTAAAAATTTATAAAATGTGTATAAAGAATATATGAAAAACTTATTTTTGTAATTTGTTATTTTTTAATAGAGCAGCGCAAAAAGTAGCAACAGAATTGATACGTTAAGTAGTCGTCATAAATCTTATAAGTATCTGCAGAAACATGTCCAGTACAGTGGACAACCACATAACAATGCACGCATTTCAATTAACTTCATTTCAAAATCCAAAACAAGTTCCTCAATAAAAAGTATCTACAACAATTTCGTTGAAATTCCATTCGTTTTGAAGCAACAAAAAGTACTTTGTGGACTGGACCTCATAGTTAAGTTTATTTTACTTAATTTACACATTAATGCCATGATTTCACAATTGAAAATATATCTGGAATATTTATGCAAATAATTATTTTTTAGTAATTCTATGACATTTCAGCCTTAAGCTTTGATAAATACAAACATGGTAAACTTCATGTTTCTGTGAGAGATTATATTTTTGATACTTTCCTGAACAAATCAGATCTCAAAAAAAAAAAAGAGTCAAAAGACCTTAATGGGGTCTTTTCTTGAGTGCTATATGAGTGCTATAATTGTAACTATCAAGTGCTGGATTAGATAAATAACATTGAGAGTATATTTTGTGAAACTATATTTTTTTCTAATAAAGCTTTAGGTTAATACTGTAGCATTTATTGCATATGAATATCAATTTAAGGATTAATGGACATTGCATAAATTAAAGATATCGTACATATCCTTATAAACAATAAGTAAGAATTTGTAGAAATAGTGTTTTAATGTCAAGCATCCTGGGTAAGCATTTGCCATTTTCGCTCGCAATGTAGTATCGCATTACTTTTGAGAACTAGTATCTTTCAGCTGTTTTCTGTCAAATCTGAGCGAAACTCCTCACGTTGTTTTATTCTAGTAGTCAGGTTGTGCAGGTAATTGGTTTCGGGGTGTCCAATAGAGGCTGCTGCATAATGTATTTTCCACAATCATTTTGTCGTAAATGTATTCAAACTTTTATTTTATATTTTAATTTATACAGTGTGACTTTCGTAAAGTTATTTATTTTTAAGGATATTTTCTTTAAGCTCATTCTGCGCTTAAGTCAATACTTGAAATTTCTTTGTGTTTATTTTAAATAACTTCTTTTGATAATACAAAAAGTTGTTTTTTTTAACACGAATTTGCGCATATTATCTTGATAGAACCACACAGTAGCAAGTTTGAAAATTCGAAGTACCTAAAAGACGACCATCAACAGCTTTTGTTGCGAAAGGAAATGATTTAAGTTGGCATCAAAATCGTTCACACACATTGTTGAAATATGTACAACTTTACAAAAAATTCCATTCGAGTAAGTCTCATAGAAAATAAATCTCTGACTTATCTGCTTTTAGTGCGCTACTGAAAATCAGTTGGACATGCTTGAGTATCGTAAATTCAACGACATATAAGTATCTTTCTCAACTGAAAGTAATTGATATACAATCAAATTTAATGTCCCTTTTTATATATATATCTAATCCAACATACCAACCAAAACTGTAGATCTACATTTTTTGAGGAGCACGAAGTTCAACTACTAAAATTCACACCACGAAACTTCATACGAAATATTGTTTTATATGTTATGTTGTGAAGTCATCGAGATCACTTTTATTGATAGATAATATGTTAAAAAAAATATATTTATTTATTCAATATAAAAAATAATGTGCAAGATAAAGTAAGTCAAATGCAAAATAACGATTCTCTTTACTTTAAAATAAAAAAATAAATCCTAGTAGATTTCTTATTTTTAAAAAACAATCGAGATAATGCAATCTGTCCGGATTTTAAATCCGGGAATAAAAACAATCATATAATCATATAGAAAAATATGTATTTACATAAAAACAACTTTGGTTTTACTGAAGATTGAACTGAAGATTGAACTGAAGATTTATAGATAGTTATTTTATAACTCAATTATTTAAATTTACTTATTAAATTGTGTCTGGCTTGAAACCCATTCCAATAACAGCCAATCATGCGTAATTTCGATGTCAAAGATGAATCACGCACTGGAACGCCATTGTCGAAAATGTCGATAAAATCATGGAAAATGTCGAGTCCGACAACCGACTGTCATGTAAGCACTATTTCGATTGCCCAAGAGCTAAAGATTGTCGCGGTTGGTGACTGGTGATGAAAACTGGATCACTTACGACAACGTGAAACGAAAATGGTCGCCCACGGTTGTAATTGTGGTGAACCGGTTGAAACAGTGGTGAACCATGGACTGACTGCTGTGTGGGATTGGCAAAAAATCAACTATTATGAACTGCTCTCTTACAGCAAAACTGTTAACTCGAAACTGTACTGTCAACAAATGAACAGTCTGAAGGAAACAATCGCCCAGAAACGGCCTGCTTTAGACAATAGGAGAGGAATTGTGTTTCATTGGGACAATCTCAAGCCACACACACCGATAATGACTCTCCAAAAGCTCCAGAATCTTGGTTGGAAAGTTCCAATGCATCAAGCTTTTAGTCCATACCTGGCACTAGATGATTACCATCTGTTCCTCAAGAGAGGCTTGTGAACATCGATTTTGTTCATCTCAATGTTTTGCCATTAGGGACGAATACTTCTATGAGAGGGGCATATTGAAATTACCTTCAATATGGCAACAAATCAAATTTCAATATATTATCAAATTTTTGTTGTTTTTTCATTACTGTTCGACCCATTCTAGTTTTGTTTTCATTTGAAACATATAAAACCAACCTTAATAAATTTTTTTCTACTACACCTATTTTAAGAATATAGATATATGATTTAGATAAATGAAGTTCATTTATAAGGGAGACTAAAGTTCGTTTTGAAACGAAGATTCAGTAATAACGATATGTAGGTATACTATAGGGAATTATGTTACAGGAATTTAACTAGTCTCGATCTGTAGAAGTTGAAATTATTCTCAATAACAATAAAAACATATTCAAATATTTTTAACTGTTTAATTTTTGATATCTAAAAAATATTAAAACTATTATGTATCAAAAATATTGCATGACTTATAAACTGGTTCTATTGCTTGATTTCTTAACTAATGAAGCAATGTATATACTTGGATTGGTCTTTTATAACTTTGGATTTTAAAGCACCGTATTAATTTAAAGACTTTTCTTATTGACATTATCATAAACATTTAATATGTTTGTCAGTTTCCATATTCTCTTTAGAAATTGCTCGTACACTTGTCGTTCATGATGACACAGAATTACACGTGATTTAGGCACGAAATCATAAGCTACATGCAAAATCACATACTTTCTCTGCTGCAAGATTTTACAAGCCGACAATAATTCCATGGGATTGCACTTAAAACTGACAGCGCCAGTTTCGGAGTCCAACATTTCAATCGATCTTGCTTTACAAGCACGCCCATCGCATTTGAGGGTGTTTTCCAAATTCTGAAAGTCAGCAGCCGTCTTGAATGACACCAGTGCCTCAATATCGCTAGTGTTGTTGAAAAATGGCATCACATATCCAAAAGCAGCTTCATATCGCTCTAATGTAGGTTTCAATTTCAGTTGAAGGTTCTGCAGGGACTCGCTGCACGCAGTGATTATTACGTAAATTTTGTGCATATATCGTATTTGTATTAGGTGTGTGTGTAAGTGGTCGTTTTCCTTTCTGAAATTTTCTAAAATTTTTTGTGCATCGTTACGTGGCATTCCCTGTTCTATGGCACTTGTCATAGCTTTACCTAAGGCGTCATTTTTTTTCAGGTTGACGGATTTACCTTCATATATTGCTAAACGTAGACGATGAGCGAGAGTTGCTAATTTTGGTGCATTCTTGATTTTAAAGTCCTTGGGCTCATGTCGGTTCTGCGTTTCAGCTTCTTCTTGTGATTCTTTTTGGGATTTAATGGACATACGGGAGACGAATCTTTTACTACACAGATTTCCAAACGTTCTTTGTGCAGGATGCATTTTGTTTTTCCAGTTTTTTTATTTTAAAATTTTGATACCGAAAAAGGGGTATTTGAGTCAAAATTCAAACAAAAATTTTTTACATGGGCAGAACCAATTTTGTTTTAAGAAAGGAAAATCCAAATGTTAGAAATTTCAAACATAAAATTTTGACTATTTTTTATTAATGAAAGAAAAAACTTTGTAAGCCATTTTAAATTCTATAACATAATATTAGAAAAAAATTAAATAAATAATAGTTCTGACAATGGTTCTGACAAATGATCGATACTTACCAATATTCAAGTACCAGAAAACTTAAAACAGAAACATGATCTCTACGAATTAAGCAATCTCAATGGAACCACTATTTTGAAATTTTTTATATAACAGATTCACTAGCAAATTATTAGATTTTTATTTCAATGCTACATTGTCTTTTGCTTAGACCAATAGTTAAAATGTATTTCCGGATGCTTTCCGGGCAATTTTTTTTTCATTTTAATGAACAAATATTTATTCTATTCAACAGACATAATGTATTCATATGGATTATACATAGCTAAAAATATAGTCCGTCGATTCATTTTAGGATGTTTCAACCCCCCTATTTCTCTCCCTCTTTTGCTGCGTGCTTGTTTACGCCTAATAACCGGCGACGGACGACAACAGTTTGTAATTCCTTACAGTTTGAGAGCTATAATTTATTTTAGTGAGCGGTGTGTGTCACCAGTATCTTTAAAATCTTTTCATTACTACAGTGATGATCAAACTCTCTCGTTTTCGCAGTTTGAAAAAATTGTCATTGGATTCGTATCATAGGATCGTATTTCGTAAGTGGTAGAAATTTGGAAAATGTGCGCACTGCCACTATACATGCACTTATTGTTTCATTTTGAGCACAGGGTATAAATCTAAATATATATACTAAAATAATTACAAATAAAGCACTTACTGTGTCAGCTGCGGTTAAATTAATGCCTAAGCCACCCGCTCGCGTCGAAAGTAAAAATACAAAAATATCTGCACGTGTTTGGAAATCTGCGACCATATCTCTACGTGCTGAAATTTTACTAGAACCATCTAATCGCATATAGCGATGTTTTCGGTGCCACATATATTCCTAAATCATACCATTTTTGCAAAAAAGTTACCATATTATGAATAAAATCACACTTACCTCTAAAAGATCAATCATTTTGGTCATTTGTGAATAAATTAATACACGATGTCCTTGTGATTTGAGTCGCGTTAAGAGACTATCCAGCACTGATAGTTTTCCAGCATCTGATACAAGTGTTTGTTTGTCCGGTATAATAAGTGATGACCACCCACTACGTGGTTTGCAAATATCTAAGCTACTATAAACCAATTGTTGTCCATCAGGGTTTTCACATTGCATATGTCGAATATGTGACCACTCGGCTGCACGACTTTCACAGCTATTAAAAAAAATTCAAAATGAATTTAAGTGGATTTGCTATTTACTAAATCGTATTGACACTTACTACATCCTTCTTCTTGTTGCCTGTACTCGTGGACACAAACCATATAGAAATTTTGGCATTTCTAATGGTTCACAGTAAAATCTAGTAGGTTTGCGTGCAATGTATGGAAATTCGGGCAGGAGTTCATTCGTTCCTGTTTTTGTTTTCTTTGACTGACCTTCCAGGAGCTGCGATTTTACACTCGTAACTTCGTCGTCACATGTCATAATGTCTATATCAGACTCTTTCTTTATATCTTTTATATTAGCTTCTTCATTCAGGATTTTATGGCTTTTGAATCGTTTTGAACGTATAACGCGATGTTCCATGGTTTCTTGCATATTTACAACAATGTAATCTCCAAACGCATACACACTACTGTCATTTCCAATCTAATAAAATAAAATGTTTTTATGTTTTTATGATAAAATATATAGATAATTAGATAAATACATAATAGAGACTAAGGTTCCCAAAGGACTAAAAGTGCTAGTGCATATTCTTACCATGCTTGTGAATATGCAGCTCTTTAAAATACTGTCTTCAAATAGAGTGCATTGCTCAATGGGATTTTCTAACATCGGTTCTAGTAACTGAAAACGTGAGGGTTTATAGTTCGTCCACCATAATCGACGATACGATAGCAACTTATAGAAAATGAGTAAAAAGCGATAATGTTGTAAACTGGGAAATAGAACAAATATTTTTATTTCTCTAAAACCCTCAGGTTTGAAATTATGTATTGCATAACTTACGAACTAATTAGTCCACCAACAGTCATATCTTCCAAATTTTTTGGTGATATATCACTTAAACGCGTAAAACTAAAACAGCAATCATCACTTACATTTAGATCGATATATCGGGAATAGTTTTCCCCACTTTTTTGAATGTTATTTGCTTTTGGTTCACTAAACATAGAACGATGTACATGTTCAGCTTTGTATATAAGAAACCTAATCAATTGAAATATTTTGATATAATTAATTACTGTTAGGAAGTCAAAAATAAAAAAGCATTTCTAACCTGTTATAGAGCAAATGGCGTTTACTAGGCAAAGCTGTTTTAAGTACGCCATCATCATATACCAAGCGTGGCATCACATACTCTTGACAACGCATAGCAAAAGGGCTCTTAACATCTCTTCGTTCAAAAAGCTCTGGATGATTGCACACTTTTCGAAACTGCATAACTAAATTCATAAGATTTGAAGTGAAATTGCGATCAACATGTCCACCATCGCTGGAACTGCCTGCACCACTTCGTGTTAGGTGTAGTAGATCCTCAATTCGTATCTTCTTTTTAAGTGCCATATATAGCAGTTTCTGTCTTATGGTTAGTGGACAGTAAACCATGATTTCAATTTTGTCTGATAGTTCGTTCTCCACATCTTTTTTAATGCGCCGCAGCATAAACGGTTTGAGTATCATGTGCAATCTTGAGATTTGCTTTTCATCGATACCTGTTTTATTTTCAGCATGAGATTCAATATCCTTTGAGAACCACTCATTAAATTCATCATGTGAATCAAATAGTGTTGGCATTATAAAGTGCAGCAGAGCCCATAGTTCAGCCATACTATTTTGTATCGGTGTGCCACTCAATAGTAGGCGATTTCGACAATTAAAGCCCAACAACAATTTCCAACGCATTGAGGACGCACTTTTTATTGCTTGTGCTTCGTCTAATACCATATATTGCCATTTTATACGATTAAAATATTTATAGTCAGATACAATCAGCTGATAGGATGTGATAACAACGTGAAAACTAGCGTCTCGCGTATGTAAATCTTTTTGTTCCCAAAATTGGCGTAGGATTTTACGTTCATTTGGTGAACCCCAATATGGAACTACATTGAATTCTGGTACAAAACGTGCTAACTCCTGCTGCCAGTTGTGTAAAGTTGACGCAGGTGATATAACTAGAAAAGGACCCCAAACTCCATAGTGTTCTGCTACATGACAGAGAAATGCTATTGATTGTACAGTTTTACCCAAACCCATTTCATCTGCTAATATCCCACTTATGCCCTGGTCATAAAGATTAGCCAACCATGTCATACCTGTAAAATAAAATAAAAATTATATGAATAAATTTATATCGATGGAAGTGTTTACCTTTGATTTGATATGTTTTTAAAGTGCCTTTAAATATGGTCGGTTGGGGCAAGTCTGCTTTTACTGGAGGTCCAGTTA